GTCGAGTCAGCCCTGACTCATAGCGACCCCTCCTTGGGTTTCCGAGGCAGTATCACTATGGAAGTAGGATTGCCCAACCTTCCTTCCGAGGAGTGCTCCTATAGGAGCCTATAAATGTAAAACAGGAATAGAACATCTCTCAGAGCTACTGTGAAGATTAAGAGACGATTCATGTAAGTCTTCTGTGCCTGGACATCGACAAACGGCCTTTCTATGGAACCCAGGGCCAGTCACAAAGGGACCACCCTTCACAGATCTTACCCCTTGGTTCTTGGCATAGGATGAGGCAGAGGATGCCTGGGTATAGGCTGTGGTACAGCTTTCCAATCTTTTGGCCCCAGCGCCATGCTGCTACCTTTGGGTGGTCCACCTTCAGGGCCTGGGATCACAATCACACAGCAACACTCAGCCAGCGCATCCTCTGCCCATCTCTGGAGAGGCTGAAACACTCTTTCTCAGACTCTAGGGCCGTGGGAACCCAGAAAAGGCTCTGTACAAATTCCCTATCTGAAGCTAGAGCCCACACTGCAGGGTTTGCTGCCACAAACCACAGCATCCCAGGCCTCAGGGTCAGTTTAGGGCCTCCTCAGGGAAGCATGGCTGCTGTCCTTTCCTGTAGGGGCCTGAGCTAGGTAGGAGAGCCACATCACTGATAAGGGCTGTCATCTGGCCTCTGCTATTAAGTATCATTGTGACCTTAGGCAAGTCATTCACTAGCTCTAGCCTTTATTCCTCATTTGTTAAGTGTGGGAGCTGAGACTAGGACAGTTTCCTAAACGTTAGTCATTCACACTCTACCTTCACCATTCCACTTGTGTGTCCCTCTAATACATATTTAAGTGAGTCAATTCTTCTTTAGCCTTGTCTAAGCAATACTATCTCTGAAATCACAGGTTCAACATAGTTGCATATTTTCACTGAGTGTTAGAAGTTTGTAATTATCAAAGTGGAAAAAAAAAAGCCCATCTATGACCACCAAAAATCATCTTGTGTGTGTACCACCCTTTGGGAATCCCTAGACTAGATTGCTGAAGACTTACCCAGCTCTTGGACCTCTTGCCTGAGGCCCTCCAAAGTCCCTTCGAGACCCACCCGGAGAACTAACGCCTGACTTTAGCGGGTACGAGGCGGCAAGCTTATGAGAGAGCTGGGAGAAAGACAGATGTGGCCAGGGCTGGAAGAAGATGAAGAGTGAAATAAGACTGGGGCCAGGACAGGAAAAGGAGATTGAAAGCTTGTTACTGAGGAGACTCCCCTGACTGATTTCTACAAACAACTGAAGGCCAAGGCCCAGAGCCAGGCAACCAGAGCAGCTGCCTTTCCTGCCTGACCCGGGATACACTCACTCACTCACTCACCTGTAAGGCCTGCTGCTCTGGGGTGGTAAGACACGAAGCCTTGGGGGCCTTCTTGATTCAAGAGGCAAGGCACTGAACCATGTGTGGAGATGCCTGGGGGTTAGGGCATGTCTGCCTTTCAGCTTCCAGCCCTTCCCTGTGAGAATGCCAAGGGCCCTCTGGGCACTGTCCAATACCATGAATTCTGAAAGCAAGAATACCCCCACAACACACTTTCTATTTTCAAAACAAAACAAACTCACTGCCTTCAAGTCAATCCAACTCCCTTCCTTGGGTTTCTAAGGCAGTGTCTCTACAGAAGTATACTGCCCAGTCTACCTTCCAAGGAGTGGCTGGTGGGTTCGAACCGCTAGTCTTCTGGTTAGCAGTCAAATGCCTTAGGCACTACACCACCAGAGCTCCCTTCTGTTATCAAGAACAAAGAAAATTGGCAAGCTGGCACCTGACCAGGGCCATGGCAGAAGGATGGAATTAGGAACTGTTGCCCTGGTCTAGTCCAAGAGGGCTTGTCTGTTAACTTCCCCTTCTCTGACCTCATGTTTTCACCCTCCGCAATCTCCTTCCCTAGGGCTGCATTTGGTGGTGTAGACTTACTTAGGAAACAGTCATGTTTCTGCTTTCTGCTTTTAAGACCTTTAGGCAAGATCAAAGCTTCCAGGCCAAGGAAGGGGCTGGGCTGCTGCAATAGGTGTTCTTTGAAGGTTTCGCTCATTCCACACAGGTAAATAGTACTTTGGTCTCAGAATCTCATTCCAGTTCATTCATGAGGTTGTCACAATCAAGGGTGAGCTCTGTCACAGGCCTCTGCACCTATCCCAGGAACCAAGTTGTTAGTGGTAGAAGGTCATCACTTCAACCCCTAGGCCTGCATGCTACTAGCTGGAGTCCTAGGGAAAATAACTTAATATTGCAGTTTCCTCATCTGTAAAATGAGGGAAAAGATAACTGCCTCAAAGAACCACGGAGACTAGATAGATACTTTCATATTTTCATGTAAATATATTCTCTCTTTCCCTCCCCTTTCCCAACATTAAACATCAGTTCTCTGCCTCTTACCCCCAATGATACTGTTTTCTTATATAAGAAACTTCAAATTACCATCATTTGATTCCCCTGAAAGTTGAAGGAATGGGTAACCACAAAGCACCACCCAGAGTCAATCATATGGACCCTTAGGAATGATAATAGTACCAGGAAGACCCCGAGCTAGCCCAGGTGAATGCTGCCAAAAACAAAAGCTGTTGTGGCTTAGGTAGCTCACTGCTCCGACTGCAGGCCTGGCCGGGACTTTCCATAACAGAAGTCTTGTGCCTGGGCCTCTCCGGGGTCCCTCCTATGTTCCTTGGGTTCTATAAATACAGGCAGGCTGTGCTGGGCTATGGCTACTTCTGTGGACTGTTTCTGGCCACTCTACCTTGATGCAGATCCCCTCTACCACAACACCATCCAAGGTCTCTATGGCCAGCTGGGCAGCTTTCAGGATTTCATACTGGATACAGAGATGAGGCTGCAGAAAGAACAGTATTTCCTCACCTTTGTTTTCCAGGTTCAAACTGCTCCAGTAGAAGCTGGGGAAGGGGCATGACCTATGGTGCCCAAAGCTACCAGAACAGATGCCCTTATTGTGTTGGGCTAGACAGTGATGGCAGATTGCCTCATGGTGGAGTTCAACTTTCAAGTGGAATCACCAAGGTTCAGAACTGGTTCTAAGATGATAACCTTTATCTGTCACTTGAAATGGAAACTCTCTTTCCTGGGTATGTGGGAAAAGCACTAATAAATTCTTTACTTGCTTTTCATAATATTTCTTATGAGTCACCAAAGTCATGACTGGAAGCTACAGGTAAAGATTCCCATTTGTCTTTTTTGTTAGTTTAATTTCCGAAGGTAGCTTTTCTATACGCTTGGGGAGCTATGTTCTTCCATTGCACAGGTCACATCTTCGGTATCCATAAATGTGTGGATATACACCCACAGGTGTTTATCCTCTCTGAACTTGAGTATCTTGTCTATTCTTAAGTGGTCTCCTTTAAACTCCCCTGCAGAACAACACTGCTTGTTCTTCATGCTTTTGTACTCGATACCTCAGAGTATATCTTTATCACTTTGTGCTTAGCTGAGTCGTAGCATGACCGTGGAGAGAGAACCTTCCCAGAAACATCCTCCTGTGTTTCAACCCACCTATAAGCCACTGTGGAGTGAAGCCCTACAGAGACTTCTCAAGACACGGAAACTACTGCTGTTTTTGAAAGGGTACTTTATCATAAAACTGAGGTCACAATCAGAAGGCCCATAGGCTGCATTTGACTAGTTCACATACTTTTTGTCGGGCCTACATGATATTTTAAAAAATGAGCCAATCTGAAATTTGGTCGATGTCTCAATTCTCTTTAACAATCCAAAGATCCGGCAATAATGGGAATACATTCTTGTGAGTCAACAAGTGCCCCCATCAGACACGGCATGTCTCACACTCCAGCTGGTAGCAGTGAAGCTCACATAACTACTATTCACTACTGCACAGTTCCTGTAGACAGACATCGGAGTTTCTAGCACTAATCTAGGTCAGAATCTGAGTTTTCTGGTCTCCTTACCTGATGGGTTTCAAGAACAAAAGTCATTGATTGAACTGACCAAAGCTCTTCAACAACCTCTCCAGCACCTAGAGGTTGCAATTTTTGCTAAATGGCCCAACATAGACCGTTGACATCTCTGACCACTTGATCCTCATCTACAGGAAAAAGAGCAGAATACACTGAGGAGGTGCGTGTGAAAAGAGAAAGAAAGTCTAAAACAAATGATGAGTCAAAACATGAGAGAATTCTACTGAAAGGAATTTTTTGACCCAAACACAGTATCTGCATATAAGGATAGTCATTACAGTATTACTTATAACAGCAAAAATTCATAAAGCTTGTGTTGTAAATAATTTTACCACATAATGCAGTATGATTCAGCCATTAAAAACAAAGGAGGTAAGATATGTACTGACATGGAAAGATGTATAAAATAGATGTTAAATGAAAATACAGTTACAAAGCAGTATGTACAGGCTGACTCCATTTTATAAAAATGTATTTTTTAAATGTTAATATGGACATAGAAACACTCTGAAGAAATATATGACAAATTCAGTAAAGCATGTATTATTTCCTATAATAGGGAGAAAGGAAGATATTATAAAAGTAATTAAATAAATCATCCAGCAGAATCCATCCACTTACCCTGTTGTTCATCTCCTCAGCAAGGCTGGGTGAAAAAGGCTCAAAAGGGAACTGGACGGTGCTGAAGGGAAACAGGGGCATCTCCACTCTGGCCTGTTCAAGAAGCTGCAGCAAACACAGCCTGGACGAGCTAGGAACCTACTACTCTACTGTGGCTCCTTGAAGTGAGCCACAGTTATAAAAACGATGGTTGTCTTTTTACCTACACTGAAAAGTAATATGGGCTGATTTACAATGGTGACACTGCACAGCTTCCAACAAATCATAAAATGAGTAAAAAGAACAAATACGACCACATATGGCCAACACCTCACCTTTACTAAGAGAATAACTACTACAACTCTAAAACTATCTCTACTTAGAGAAATAAATTCCAACGGAGCTCTCACCATGGCACACTGCTACAAGCCTGCATGTATAGAGAGCAAAGAAGACTATGCTTTAGACACTCCGTAAGAAAGAATCAAGGGATGTGGAAAACTTAGAGGAAGCACAAACAACATCACTCCCAGAGAAAGTCCAACTGACTGCCAAAATAATGAACACAAGCCCAGGCTTTGATAGGCCACAGCACTTGGCAACCTCACAAAACACTGCTTCTAGGGAATATACCCACTCCTCACTTACTGACATGGTTTTAGGTTCCAAAGACCAGGCCATTATGTGAAAACTGGTGTTATGTGAAAATGGAGTATGACCACATCAGATCACAAAGTGATTACATCATTACATAACTGCCAAACCATTGACAATCATGGGCCAGCGAAGTTGAAACATACCCTTCACAATCACAGCTGGCATTACTCTCACTTCACATCTTGGCATTATTGCCAGGCATACGTCGTTAATGTGCAATATAGATTTTTACTATTGCCATAAATGTGAAATGTTGGATAACAAGAGTTGGTAAGTGAGGAGTTGTTGTTGTCGTTATGTGCCGTCGAGTCAGCCCCGACTCATAGCGACCCCTCCTTGGGTTTCCGAGGCAGTATCACTATGGAAGTAGATTGTCCCATCTTCATTCCGAAGAGGGCCTGGTGGGTTTGAACCGCCAGCCTTCTGGTTAGCAGTCAAGTGCCTTAGGCACTATGCTACCAGAGCTCCCAAGTGAGGAGAGCAGGTGTAATAAGGTATACAGAAAACAGGCATTACCTCCTGGAGACATTACAGTGAATGGAAAGAAGGAAACAAGAGGGGGAAATTAAGGAACCTACCAAAAGAGAAATAATACACCTGACAACCCCTCCCAACAGCAATAGTATAAATTGCTCTCCCTCTCAGCACTACATCATTATTCTTAAAAGAACTAGCATTAAAAAAAGAAAAAGAAACTGCACAGAGGAAGGTAAAACTGACAGAAGAGTAGCTTTTGAAAGAGAAAGCTGTTCACAAAATGAGTAAGCTTAGAAAATAGCAGACCACATTCATCAAAACTATGGAGGAAAAAAAAAAACAGAAAGGAAGAATCGAAGCACTTCTCCCCAGAAATATCAACTATGGAGCTACAGTCCAAACAGAATTAACTATCAGCAATCAAGAATTTGGGGATATGAAAAAGAATACCTCAAGTGAGAAATTAAAAAAAAAAAAAAGTAAGAACAGAAGTTGTCAAGAAAGAATGGATTCAAATGAAAAATTAATAAGGGACATTGCAAAGAAAGCAGGAAACAAAAAAACCTGAGAGAAGAGAAATGAGATAAAGAGGATCAAGGAGAAAGGAGCTGAAATGGAATATAATCAAAGGAGGGCCAACATACACACATGTAATTGGAGTCCACAGAAGGGGGAAAACAACTATGGAACCAAATAAATATTTGAAGATATAATCCAAGAAAATATTCTGAAAATAAAAGACCAGAATCTATCAATTGAAAGGGGGCACTGGATGCCAGAAAAAAGTGACCTGAAATGATTAACCTTGAGACATTGTCTAGTAAGATAATTAGATTTTAAATACAAATGGGAAAAAAATTCTCAGGGCCTCTAGGCAAAAATAAGAAATAATTTACAAGGCCAAGAGAATTAGACTGTCATTGAACTTTTCAAATACAACCGACTTCAAATACAACTTGTAAGGACTTCTACCTCTAGCCAAGATGAAATAAAACCAACCAGAACAGACAGAAACTTCTAGAACCTCAAAAAGGATCTCTATAAAAACAACTACCAGTTTCCTGTTTAATCGTATGCAACTGAGTCTTTTGCTCAAAGATGAGCAATAAGCCAACAATGTCTGCTCTGATCACTTCTATTCAACACTGTGCTAGAGATTCTAGACTGTACAATATAACAAGAAAGAAACAAGAGGCACACAGATTGGAAAAAATCACTGTCACCAGGTCAATTCTGACTCATAGCGACCCTATAGGACCAAGCAGAACTGCCCCATAGGGTTTCCAAGGGTGTAAGTGTTTATAGACGCAGATCGTCACATCTTTCTCCCATGGTTCAAACTTGTGACCTTTTGGTTAGCAGCTAAATGCTTTAACCACTACGCCACCAGAGAGGAAGAAGTAAAATTCATTAATCACAGACAAGAGAAAGTAGAATAAGACTCTCAATTGCTGTATAGATAATAAGTAGAAGAAAAATGATACCACTTAAAAGTGATAGAACAGATAGAAGATTTAAATAAGAAAAAATGGTAATTAAAGATTCTAAAAGGTAACTACTGTAATAAAACAACTAAATACCAAGAGAAATATAAAAAAGGCACAAAATAGATTTGAGCCCAAACATAACAATAATATCAACAAATATAATGAGCTTAACTTAAAAGCAAAAAAAGTGCCTTCCCATCTGGAAATTAAAAAACCTTTCATGAACAATTCTTGGGTGAAATGGAACTATAAACAGAAATTACATAATTTTCGCAACAGCAATAATGATAACATTACATATCAAAATCTATGGACTACATCCAGAGCAGTGATTACAGAGAAAGTCATAGCCCTAAAAGCCTGTATCACTCAAAATAAAAGAATTAAAATAAATTAATAAATTTCCCAACTCAAAAAGCTAAAAAAGCAACAAAACAAAGCCAAAGAAGACTAAAGGTAAAAGCAGAAATTCATGAAAATGAGAGTGGAAAAACAATAAACTAATAAATCAAAATCCTGGTTCTTTGGCAGGGGTGGGGGGCATGGGAAACGGGATGGGATGGTCAAAATAGACTACTAAGTAATTTAATCAAAGCAGGAAAAAAAAAGGAGCAAGGGCAAGAGAAACCACAATATACAAAATAAGAAATGGCATGGGGAAATAACTATTGATGCAGGGAAAAAATTTTTAAACAAATACTTGCAACTACTTCATATAGCACTATATAAATTCATCAAGATAAAAAGAAAAATTCTTAGAAAACTGTACTTTACTAATATTATCTCCAGTTCATAAAGATCTTAACCAGAACTAATTTTCATAGAAGAACTGAAGAACATTAACAAGGAACTGGGCCAATAAGCAGAATCACGATACATGGAGAAAAGACTGGAGTCGTCAATGATTTCATATTACTTGGTTCCACAATCAACACCAATGGAAGCAGCAGTGAAGACATCAGGCGATGTATGCACTGGGCAAATCTGATGCAAAAGACCTCTTTAAAAGTGCTGAAGAGCAGAGATGTCTCTTTGAAGGCTAAGGTGTGCCTAACCCGAAACCAAAAAAATAAAAACCCAAACTCACTGCTGCCGAGCTGGTTCCGGACTCATAGTGACCCCTCCTTGGGTTTCTGAGGCGGTTATCTCTATGGAAGTAGACTGCCCAGTCTTCCTTCCAAGGAGTGGGTGGTGGATGTGAACTGCCAGCCTTCTGGTTAGCAGTCAAATGCCTTAGGCACTATGCCACCAGAGCTCCTGTGCCTAACCCAAACCATGGTATTTTCACCTCATATGCACATGAGAGCTGGACAATGAAAAAGGAAGACCAAAGAAGAGTTGATGCTTTTGATTTGTGGTGCTGGCAAAGAATACTGAAAGTAGCATGGACTACCAGAAGAACTAACAAATCTGTCCTGGAAGAAGTGCAGCTGTAATACTCTTTGGAGGTGAGAATAGCCAGACTTCATGTGACCTACTCTGGTCATGTTGTCAGGAGGGACCATTCCTTGGAGAAGGATATCATGCTTGGTAAAGTGGAGGGTCAACGAAAAAGGGGAAGGCCCTCAACGGAATGGATTGACACAGTGGCTGCAACGATGGGCTCGGGTATAGCAAGGATTGTGAGGCTGGTGCAGGACTGGGCAGTGTTTTGTTCTGTTGTACAAAGGGTTGCTTTGAGTTGTAGCCGACTCAATAACACCTAACAACACCACTGTGGAAAAAAAAAATCAAGCCCAGAAGGATTCAAGGAGAATACTAGCAATCCTTTAGAGACCACAGAGTCCCAACAGTACATAAATCATTTCAGAATAGTGAAAATGGAGGAGCACTTCCAGGTTCTTTTCATAAAGCAAGTGTAACATTTAAACCTAAACTTGATAAAAAGAAAATTACACAGCAATATCACTTACAAATATCAATATAAAAATCTTAACTAAAATATTACTAAAAAGTTTAATAGTGCACTTAGTAAATAATATAGCATAACCAATGGGATTCATTCCAGGAATGCAGAAATGGTACAGTATTAAAACACCTATTAATATAATTCACCACACTGTTAAGTCTAAGGAGAAAAATTGTATGATCTCTTTGACATGTGGAAGAAGTCTGATAAAATTTAATGCCCAGTTCCAAAAATAACTTTTTTTGGAGAAAAAATAGGTAGATAGATAGATAGATAACAATATACATATTGCTCAATCCTAAAGCCAAAATCTGACTTAACCTGAATGAAACTCCAGAGCCATACTCCTTAGAGTTAGGAAAAATTCAAGAAGGCCAAGTATATCTATTACTATTTCAACATTGTTCTGGAAGCATTAGCCAAAGCATTTAGATAAGAGAAAACAGAGATAAAATATTTTTGGGGAAAAAATTTTAAATGTTATATATACACTAGGAACTCTGGTAGCATAGTGCCTAAGGCACTTGACTGCTAACCAGAAGGCTGGCAGTTCAAACCCACCAGCCACTCCTCAGAAGGAAGGTTGGGCAATCTAC